CCGACCCTGTGCGATCTGACGGGTCTATGGGAGGTAATTGGCAGCAGGCGGTATCAATGTCCCTGCACCACCTTCTTCTTTCCTCCCAGCCCTAAACCTTCCTCTTTCTGAGTGTCTATAGACAATGGTTCTTGCCTAATCTATTCAAAAATCCCAGCTTCCTCCTCCTGAGGCAACGAGCATCTACTGTAGAGAGGCCTGCTTTCAATCCTGAGACCTGTCCTCAATTTTTTAAGTGCCGTATTTTTCGGAGTATAAGACGCACTTTTATCCCCCCCTAAAAGAGGGTGAAAATTTGGTTGTGTCTTATACATCGAATGTAGTCTGTAGTCAGCTGTTTCAGGCTGCAGGAATTGGTATTCCGGTGCCGCACACCCCGTTTTCGACCTCTGCGCCCCGTTTTCTGCCCATTCCGAAACCCGTCACCCAGAACAGGCGGAAAATGGAGTGCTGAAAACAGGGCGCGCGGAGGCGGCAATAGTCTATGGAAACCCCTGCAGCCTGAAACAGCTGATCATCGGGAGACCAATTCAATTCTTATTTTATTATTTGCTTGCCACCTGTCTCTACCAAGTTTTATGTTTATTTTATTTTAATTTTATTATTTTATTTTATATTTCATTTCTTATTTTATTTTATTATTATTTGCTTGCCACCTGTCTCTACCAAGTTTTATTTTTATTTTATTATTTTATTTTTATTTTATATTTCATTTTCCGCCCATTCCGATCCCCGTCGCCCGGAACAGGTGGAAAATGGGGTGCTGAAAACGGGAGGTTGGGTGCAGAGGCGGCAATAGTCTATGGCAACCCCTGCAGCCTGAAACAGCTGATCATCGGGAGGCCAATTCAACCGACAATCAGCTGCTTATGCTAATCAGGCTGTGCTGAAATTGAAACTGAAACACTTAGTTTACTGCAAGGAGGCAAATTGCTGGGAGGCAGAGACAGATTTTTCCCCCTTGTGCTAATCAGGCTAAACTGAAACTGAAACAGGCTGTTTGCTGTTTGCTGCAAGGAGGCAAATTGCTGGGAAGCAGAGGCAGATTTTGGTTTTCTTGTTTTCCTCCCAAAAAGCTAGGTGTGTATTATACTTCAGAGCATCTTATACCCTGAAAAATATGGTAGCTTTTGGGTTTTGGAGATCTCTTGATTGGGCCCCAAAGCCTCTCCAGAATCCAGCTTCACCCCTTTTGACTTATCATGCCTTTTTTCTTCTTTCTTTTTTTAGGGGAATTGCTGGTTTTCAGCATGCCGGTCGTTTATGAGAAATATAAGGTGGGTAGCTTCAGTCTCAAGAATTCTAGGCAAGCCATTTGGAAATAATAATTATTGTGTCTCCCAGGATTGCTGAAATAATGGGATTTTAGAGAAAGTTGGTGGCTTTGACAATATTATAATATTATATATGCGCCGTATAAAATAGGCAACAGGTATTCTGACCCAGGCTTCGTTAAAAAGCAAAAAGCAGAGTCTTGGTCCCAGCAAAACCCCTTTTATTTACACACCTGTGAATTCCTTTCATTCATAAGTCAGCAAGGCTTAGCAAACAGTCTTTCAAAGGAATGTTTATCCACACGAACCTTATCTCGCTTGGAGAGCTGCCAGATAACTAGTTTCCAAAGGCAGGGCAAGGCAAAACGTAGCACAGAGTCTCTTATAGTCACAAACAGAACTGTCCACTCTTGAGACGACCGAAGGTACGAATTGTTTCTTGCAGAAGCCCCCTCCCCATTCCCTCCTCTTTTGCTTCCTAAGGGAGGGGTCAATCACTTGCAAGGTGTGGATTTACTCCCAAGTCGATCCTGCTTTCTGAGTAGTTGTTGTCTTTTGGCAGCTCTGCGCATGCGCACACTGGGAACAGGCTCCAGCTGTTCCTCTGCCTCACTGCTGTCTAATTCCCTCTCTG